CCCCAAAACCCCAAAACCCCAAAACCCCAAAACCCCAAAACCCCTATTTTCGAGAAAATATAGAAATTATTAAGGAATTAAGTCTTTGTGTCATAAAAGCGAGCATACACTTCTTGGTCATCAAGCTCATACTGAGAGCCCCTCCTTCGAGTTGTCTGAGCCTTACTCCTTTTGGATTTCTTTTTGTGATCCCTCACCATTTTGTCAAGCTCATCTTCATAATCTCTGCTGGGAGTGCAAATGGCTTTCTTGTTTTTCTGCATTCGTTCTAATTCTTCATTTCTGTACCAGGTTGGGACTAACTGCTCGATTATTTGAACGCTGCTCAGCTCAATTTCCTCCTTAAAGAAATCAAAGAGATTTGGAACCCGGTTAAGTGGGTCTGAGTATAAAGTAGAAGCTCGTAACTCATCAAAGAAAGGATGCATCAGAGCTTCAATCGGCTTCATTCTGTGTGAAGGAATATACATCAATAGATTAGATATTAGGTCCAAAGCATCCTCTGGTACTTTCTTTTCGAAAAAATATGACCAAGATATAGGAAGCACTTGAGGAAATTTAAATTCAATGAAGTCAGGATTCATCTTAATAAGCTGTAATCTGTTTGGAGTTCCTAAAACTCGAATAATTTCGATTAGTTGATCGACTCCGTTCTCTCCTTTGAAGGGAGCCTCTCCGTTGATCAGTTCAACCAGTAAAACTCCTGCTGACCATATATCAATCTCATGAGAATAATACCTTGCACCAAGGATAAGCTCTGGTGCTCTAAATGTTAGATCACAAACCTACCGATAATGTCTTGAGGTTATATAAGATATATTTTCTTCACCAGGAACAATCTTCTTTGCACTTCCAAAATCTCATAGTTTTATTATATTCCTGGTGGGGTCAATGAGTAAATTGCTTGGCTTGATATCTCGATGACAAATCCCTTTGCCATGAAGATAAGCCAGAGCACGTAAAATTTGGTACATAAAGACCTTAGTCATAAAGAGAGGGACTTTCTCTCCTTGATTTCTATAGTAATCCATAACTCTTTTAAGGTCTTCTGGAAAGTATTCCATGACAATATTCAGATAAACGTCTTCCTTAGTGCCGCCGTCAATGACAAAGGATTTCTTATACTCAATAATATTTGGATGTTCTAGCTCTTTCATGATCTCGCATTCTCTGTTCTTATACCGTTCATCAAAGAAGACTTTATTTGATAGCAACTGCTTCTCTAGTGTATGACTCATAAGCTTTGTAGACAACTCCAAAGGAGCCGTGACCAATGACCTTTTCTGCTATGTAGGAATGCTTCTGTCCTTCCTAAATTTGTTTATGAGTTTGCTTACTCTATAAATCGTTTGCTCACTTTCTCCCCGTTCCTTAGCTTCATCGTCCACGTATATACCAATCTCCATTATTGATTAAAAATATTTCAAAATGTTGGAAAAATAGAGGGGTTTTGGGGTTTTGGGGTTTTGGGGTTTTGGGG